CGAAAAATTAGGTGTCTATTTACTTGTGACCACTCAGTGTACATTGATTGTAAGATTGCTTAATTAAATTTTGAATGTAACAAAGTAAAATCTTGTGACATGTACAATACAGGGGTGCCCGTAAGTATAGGGTTAACTCTATTTGACTTTAAGGTTACAAAACAATAGCAATGTCAGCTATATAATCAAACATTTTTCACTTTTCTATTCTATAAATTAATAAGGTTTTATTTCAAATTCACACTTCATCTTGTCACTTTCATTTCACCATCAACAAATCATTAAATATTTCCTTCCATACAGTAGGTCACTGAACCTCCAGTTTATTGCACAATTCAGATAACCATGTGTTGGTTAGTTTTGGAATACCAAACATGCAATATAGTGTGATAAAAGAAACTTACCAAATCCTCAGTTGTGAAATTTAATGTGTTCTTGTTCTTCACCACCTTGATGAAGACAGGAGGGAGATTTTTTACAGTAATGTTAGACCTTCTATCACAATAAAGCTGTATATAGAATCCCTTCAGCATGTTGTAATTGGTCTTCAGGGGTAAGTTGTGTTTCTCACCAAGTTGCCGGATCATTTCTAGAAGCATGAGTGAAACTTTTCATATGTAACTCCAGAGTTATTACTTTAACATGTGTTTCTTCTCTTATTCAAACTGAAAATACAAATTTGATTATGTCTATAATGCTCTAAGATAATGTTGTCAGACTGTGAACGGTAAGAATATTTTGACACAGAAAACACTGATACAGGATTATGATCAGATTACAATCAAGTAAAAAATCTATTTAGTGAATTTTTAAGATTTCTGTAGAGAAAGTGTATAAAGCTCATATTCAGCATACTCTACCAACAATATCGTCCATACTTTCTGTATACATTCTTCTTGCAACGTCCAATAATCCATTAATGTTTGGCTGAAAAATCAAAACATTTACAAGAAGGTTGAAGTAGCTAGTTTTAAAACAGTTAAGTTATAAGCAAAACTGTAACAATTTGATGATACTTGAATTTTAAATTGATTTTTTCATATTTTCTTCATAAACTTGACATATATTAGGAGACTCATTAAAATATCAAGACTTACATGTTTAGAGTGTACATATAAGAAACCCTACATTAAATATTTGTTTGGTGAAAGTTATAATTTTCCTACACTGAAAACGTATTTCCCACAAGTACTTCCATTAACAGTGCTGCCCTCTATTTGTAACTATCTTTTGCATGCCACAAGCCTTTCACTCCCATGCTACCATTAATTCACATGGTTTAACTGATTCTCGCATGCAAATTATCACGTGACAAACCACCAATAGTAGTGCCACATACCCACGTGACTCATTTTGAGTTATGCAGAAATGTAAGCACTGTTTGACAGTGGCGAGGAAGAGTGGGAAATATGAGTGGAAGTAAGTACCTGTAAGAAATACATTTTCAGTGTAGGAAAATTATAACTTCCGACAAGGTACCTTACTTCTGCTAGAATCCCATATTGAATAGGTGGAGGGACTGGTGCAAGGGAGAAAGTAGAAGAATCCTTCAAAAGTGTCCAAAGGACACACTAATGAGTGAACCCTCTAATAAGAGGAGTATACATAGGAGATTGCACTACTTCTGTACTAGGTATACTTTTTGCTCAGAAATGGCATAACAGATTGGGGCAGAAAACTCTGAGGAGTACGTCCAAATTGGAGAGAAAACAGTTGGACAGTGATCCTAACCACAATATATTATAATTTCAATCTTCCTGATGAACAGGATGTGGGTAAAATAAGAAATGTGCCCAAAGGTGTAGAGTTGCTAGGGTGCAACAGACTGTACACAGTAAGTCAACTGCATCTAAATTTTGACCTTCGGGAACCGACATCCATGTGGGAGTAGGACAAGGATCATACCATTAGTAAGTCAACTACAATTCAAACCACAGCCATCTGGAACTGACATTCATACAAGGGTAGGAAAGAGGGTCATAATGTCTTCACCTCAAGTCCAGCTGACCAGAGGGAGAAATCCCACCACCGATCTATGAACAGTGCACATGTAAGCAGAGTGAAATAACATAAATAAATATATATATATATATTGTATCCCACTCAAATCAAACAAGAGAAAGAAGCAGAGCAACCAACAAGTATACACAATGTGACCCACAACACTGGGGTAGTGCATTTGAGGCAAATTGAGTGAGGAACCAGGGACATCTTGAACACACATGTGAGGACTTAACCACTGGGAACTGACATCCATTTAGGGGTAGAATGAGGGATCCTAATTGAAGGTGTGAACCTGCATTTATGCTGGCACACTACATGTGTGAGGACATGACGTTGATTGGTTCAGCTCTAAATCCAAAACTCCACTGTTGAGAACTGACATTCATACGGGGCTAGGATGAGGGATTCTGATCGGCACAACATGAGTGTGGAATGATGTTGATTAGTTCAGCTCTAAATCCAAAACTCAACTGCCAGTAACCAATTTTCATGCGGGAATAGGATGAGGGATCCCAATAATTATGATGGTGCACTCTAAATCAACAACATCCCTTTGGACAAACCTGTGCAGAGATGGAGTGCCCATTTGGAGGACATTTTGTCATCCACACCAGCAGAACACCACCACCTTACTCTCAACTGAATGGAGTCTTTATTGTATAAATTGCATATCTCTCATTCAGAAGGATACCTTCATGGTTCACCACCCCAGAGGCTTCGAACTCGAAAGTGGTAACGACTCTGTTACTCCAATGGAAGAAAGAGAAAAATGCTGTGGAGAGTCTGGAGGAATGTTGAAAAACGGACAAAACTCGATTTATTCAATCTAAGGAGTGGCAAGGATGGGCAGCAACCCCCTTCTGCTTTACCCATGAAGTCCATGGGTTAGTATGGCCTGGAACAGGCATATTTATGAAGCAAAGATATTGTGAGGAATAACCTGTGAGCAATCTTGTGGAACACCCCATCTCTAGTTTATGTGGTTGTAATGAACAGTGTGTGTTTTGTGGCCATGGAAATTATAAAGGTTAAGTTAATGTGGCCTTATACTCTGGGTTTTAGTACACTAGGCACCATTCACCACAGATTGGGATATTGGTCAAAACATGGGATAGGTCCCTGAAAAATAATACATATAACAGAAGAAAGAAAACTCACCCAGTTACAGTCTCACAGAAGAGTAAAGGATGGTGACAGTTGGAAGATGGTACGCTGACGAGGAAGAAACAGCTACCCAAAGGAGATAATGAGAGTTGAATGTATGAAGTGTAGTTCCAATGCTCGACAAACAAAGTACCTCCAATGGATGACAGGGTTGAGATGCAGGTGGAAGGTAAGGTGCCTGATCAGAATGAAGATACCAGGAATGGATTATGGGAAGAAGAAAAGGAATAAAAGGCCAATCAAATCACAAGCCGAACCCAATGGGTAAGAGAGGAAGGGAAAAATCATGAAGAGAGGAGTGGTGCATGGGAATGAAACTGTGGGAAATGGAGTGAATGAAAATAAATCTTGAAAGCAATGAAGTAACCCAAAGCATGTACGGGACAGAGAAGGTCATCCAGATCCACCCGAGAATAAAGGTGGAAGATGGCAAGAAACGAAAATTATGAAAAGAATATTCCACATGAGTCCTCAAAGTGTAGATTAGTAAAAACTGATTCAGAACCAAATGAAGATACGGAGCCTAAACAGCGAAGAAGACCAGATCTGTACTGGCCAGGAAGGATCACTCAGAAAGGCCTGACTCGAAGTGACCTGGATGATCAAAATCACCTCGAGGCAAAGACCAATGGAATGAGAAAATCCAAAGTTATTAACTGGATCCAATCTTATCTTGTCTGAACATATTGACAGCCTGGGTGAGTATATGATGAACTAGAGACCTAAGAAGAAAGAGGTAACTTGGAATCAAGAAAGGAGTCAAATGCTTTTCACGGAGGAATATCCCACAGGAGGTAGAGCCACAGAAAATTTGAGGATCAAGAGGCTACTCCTTGGAGAAAGGGTGTTGGAACTGGAAAGGCAATCAGCAACGAGGACAAAAGCACCTTGAACATGACACACCAGGATAAGTATGTCAAGTGTGTGGGTTCAAAAAGGGATATCCACTGTCTATCACACAAGGAACAAGAACACGAGCAGTGATATAAGCCCCCACTATCAAATAGTCGGAATTAAACATGATTAGTCAAATCCTGACAAGAGGAAAAAATGAACTTTTGCACATTGGACTGCAAAAAGTGCCAGGGTGTTTTAAAATGGTAAGATCTTTTGTCCATAGAACAAGCCTCCTGCTGATCAACCCACACCCCTCAACTTTGGAGATGAGCATGAAGGAAGAGAAGCAAATTTTTTATTAGGGGGAGGAAGCAGTAAACCCAACGATATGGGGGATATGTTCAATGCATATAATCAAAGAGGAAAGTTAAGAGGAGAATCCAAAGGAACCCTAGTGAGAGAACATGGGTTGTGTAGCATCTCTGAAAATATCACAATGTACCAGACCAAAGTTAAGAGGAGAATCCAAAGGAACCCTAGTGAGAGAACATGGGTTGTGTAGCATCTCTGAAAATATCACAGTGTACCAGACCAAAAGGGAAAAGTGCTTCCATAGAAGTAGGGGGGAGTTTCCATGATATTTGAAAAACGAAAATAACAAAACAAAATCATACACTACTGGATTCTACAGTTACGAATTAGTAGATTTACATTGCAAGTTCAATTATTTAGTTCATAATTGATGAAAAACAATTAAAAATCGTACCGGTAAATTGACATTTTACTCCATGCTACCATCCCATTAGAACAGTGTTAACAAAATGTCAGTGATTTATCACTTTACCTGGTAACCTGATACTTTGTGACACCAGTGTCAAGGCAAGATAAAATGTAGTCCCATTAAATCCATCCATTTCAAACTCATACATGTGTATTCATGTTATATGGATAAATAAAATGAAAATTGTCAATAACCAAATATTAATAATGAATATGAGCTTACAAATGTACCTATGAAAGAATAGGTGAGATTTTGTACTCACATTGGTTGTAAACTAGAAGTACCATGATTGACAGGTACGTATTTGTAGTAACCTCTATGCATTCTAAATCATGTCATGATGTAATTGATACATCGTTCGTAGACACACCCAATGATATGACATATAACAAACTGTTGTCAGGACAACATAGTCTGCCAGTGCAACATATAGGCTATTTACAATCCCCATTTTTCATTTTTTGGCATGCTGTCTGTTCAATTGGGCAAACATATCTATGTATCGGTTTATTCATTATGTAGTCTGCAACACCAAGTTTATTGTGTACCCTTGTTTCTATCAATTCAACGACTAAAAATAATTTTAAATGGTTTTAAAGTTTATTTGTGTGTTTTCAAACAGTAAATGTTACAGTATGGAATGAAACCAGACAGATCAAAGTAGAGCATGAAGAGAGCTATTGTTTGATGTATCACTGATCCTTATTGATCCAGCCACTTCGAACAGACACCCTAGTTTCAGTTTTAACATCTGGTCGCTGACAAATGGCGGACAAGGGCCTTAGTGATCTTCATGATGATTTTAAAGCCAATTTCAAAGTAGTGGGAGTATGGTTGCCATGAAGTAAATCATGCAAATGCAGCATGTATTAGTGCTCTAGACATTTACCATTTGTTGTTTCATGTACAATAATTAGTATTTTATTTATGTGAGATTTATATATTCACAACTGCGATTTTGCATTCACACGCTTCTGTGACAAGGAGGTATAATTCTCTGGGACTCCCTAAGTTAGAAGCTACATCTCCTCAACGTGTTAGAATCTTGCTAGCAGTAAGAGGTGGATGTTTAAAAGAACAGTCCCCAAATAAATGAGATTGTTAGTTAGGTAACAGGAAAAACTTGTCCAACTGGAGAAATCCAACCACCCGGGTTGCTAGTGTAAGTAGCAGATGATTAGTTATGACCACCTTTATTTGGAAGGAGTTAACCAAAGCCAGATATTGAAGTAGAGGTGATAATAAAATCCACATAAATTTTGGAGTCAGGTAAAATGTAGACCACATGAAAAAGACATATGGAACCAAAACAAGTCCAAAGGGCAAGGCACATACTGGCACCAAATCTTGTGTAAAAAAACCTAAGATAGCATCCTGAGAAATGAAAGGTAAGAACATGTACTGTGGCCATTCTTAGTCATGTAGAAATTGCCCACTTGATTGTGATCAAAGACTATATATTAAAATGGGGAAGAATGAAGAAGTGATTGAGATGGGATCAATCAAACCAAAACTCCAATCAACATCTAGCATACACGATGAATGGAGAAACTCGTAGGTAAGTCAGGTAAAGGATGGGAAGGTGCCAAACAATGAACATGAATAAAGATGGTAGTAGCTCTGAATGAAATAAAAGAGCAATAAAAAATAAATAAAATATAGCATTGCAGATACCTCACATGATGCTAGATGCTCAGGAGAGCCTCCCCACAAGAAATAACTAGTAGAGAAAAATAGCCGACTGTAAGTCCCTATCAGAAGTGAATAGTAAACAAATGGTACAAGACAGTGTCCCACCCCAGAAGATCCTAAAAGCAAAGAAGCCACGTGTGGAGGGAAAGAGATTAAGATGGCAAAAGCCCAACATGGAGGGAAGAAACAGGAGGTATCACACGAAAATCTCCTAGATAACGGCAGAACAAATAAGAAAGGTAGGCATTTCCTGTAGGAGAATCGACAGGGTAAGGCAAAGCTGGAAAACTAGTTGGGGGATAAAATGGATAGGATTAACAGTGACTGTCCCCATACTGGTGACAGAGATTCTAAGTACATAAAATCAAGAAGAAATCTACCTGATGGCAAGCTAAAGCATAACGAACCAAAGCCTGTATAGGGTGAGGCATGCAAGTACCCTCTCCCAATATAGAGACAAAAATGCTCATCATAAAAGAATGTCTGGAGAAGGATGGGAGAAGTATACTCTGAAACGTGCCTAAAAAAGGCTGAGGTAGGCCTAGCAGATTTTTCTATAGATGCCTGGGAAGGCAAACCACAATCAGATGGTGGAAACTGACAAAAATCCAGGTCATCCTAAATAGGATCAGCAGTATAGGAGGAAGGTGAGCAATATCGGCAGAAGGTAGGGCAGACCCTGGCCCCCCACGTGTCCTCACAAACTAAAGTAACTGTAACAAGTATATATATTATAAATAATAAAATGAAAATCAAATAGCCAATATAATGTAAGTTTAAGTAAGTGTGTAGTGAAATAAACATATGTATTGGGTGTTATGTGGAGAACGAAACAAGATATTTAACCTAATTATTGACTTACCCATCAGATGAACTACAAGTAAAGTTAAAATAACACACTTGATAAGCCTAATCGAACCATGCAGAACAAAGTATATCCCTAATATCTAATTAAAAAAACCCAGACTAACAATAAGTATAATGTAGAAGAAGTTTGTGCAGACCCTGGCTCCAGGGGTCCACACAAATAAAGTTAATATTATGAAGCATGAAACATAAATAATAACGAAAATTATTGAACAAAAGATACAAGTAAGCTTTAATTTCAAACCTGAACATAACTATGAGTATTGATCAATATAACTAAACTTATGTTATAGAACACAAATAACTAAACGTCAGTACACGAGCAGTGCGAAACAAGAAGTGGTAGTTAGGTAAAATAGCATAGAGGAAGTCACATGAGTCACGTGGGTGTGTGGCACTACTATTGGTGGAGGTTAGCCACATGATAATTTGCATTCAAGAATCAGTTAAACCAGGTGTATGGGAGTAAAAGGCTTGTGGCATGCAAAAACGTTTTTGCAAATAGAGGGCAGCACTGAATGAGAATAGGTATGTGTGTGAGCAGAATTTAAGTAAGATATCTTATCGGAAAGGCCCGGTATGGCCAGGTGGTTAGGGAGCTCGACTCAAAATATGCGGGTCTCGGGTTCGAATCCCGGTCCACCAATCATGCTCGCCCTTTCAGCCATGGGGGCGTTATAACATGATGGTCAATCCCACTAATCGTTGGTAAAAGACTAGCCCAAGTGTTGGCAGTGGGTGGTGATGACTAGCTGCCTTACACTGCTAAATTAGGGACAGCTAGTGCAGATAGCCCTCGTGTAGTTTTGCACGAAATTCGAAACAAACAAACTTATCGGAAAATACCATTTAATAATATGTGGATTTTGACTACAAAAATATATTTACAGCTGAGTTATATAGTGTTGGTTTTTTTACCTGAATTTTACTATAAATATTCATCATCACAATATATTTCAGAACAAAACATTCAGTAACAAAAAAGACATTGAGTTATAACATAGTTAACTTGAGGGATAGAGTAAAACCTCAACATAATTTACATGCCTTTAGAGTATTTTAGAAACAAGGTTAGACTATCTGAGCCTGTCACATTTACTTGATATGCCAAGAACATGTAGTAAGTCACAGTTTACAAACTTCAGGAAAGTTATTATATAAGAACCAAGGAGACAGTCAGGAAACATCTGCTGAAATGTTATCAAAATGATTATTATAGAAAGTCTAGCATAATCATTCTTAATCGAAATGTTATTTTCTTATGGTCATTACTTACAATTATTTAATAACTCATAGTTTTCTATAGCATTCTATCATTTGTTTCCACTAGCATGCAACAACATATAGGAGGACTGAATGACGTTTCATTTCTATCAAGAAGGTGATAAAACTTCTGTACCTGGCTGGTGCAGTCTTTAGATTAACTAACTGTTGTGGCTAACATATTGTCAGTACTTCTGGATTTCTATCTGTTTGTGGTGCACTCTAGACGTTTTTACATCATGTGCACACCTCATGTATTTGTATGTTTGTGCTATCCTAAAGATTGGTTGATATCCACTGGATGGGACATTATTATATGAATCCTGAGACCATCATACTACAATGAGGTTATTATTACCATAAGTATATACATACATACATATACTTTTATATTAACTGGAGAAGGAATTATATTGGAATGTTGACTATAATTCCAAATTTACTATGTATATCTACACAAAATGTGGCAAGTTTTAGTAGCATTTACAAGTCTGTGATACTCAAAAATCAGATGTGTTACTAAACCATTTGTACTCTAGATATGTCTATGAATTGAAATATCAATCTGAGTCAGACCATGACAAGTCATAGTGCAAGATTATGGTCATCTGAAGATTCAGAATACTTCTGTCCTTTGTACAGTTTGCATATTCCATAAGCTCTAGAACCTTAGTAATGCATATCTACAGTTTTTTCAATATCCCTGTATATTTCATCTGGTATTTACTTTCCTCTACAACACCTCTCACAATGTTTTCCTCTTGTACATGTATGCTTGTTAGTATACATGTTTGACCTGTATATTAAATAACTAATGCTAAACATTACAGTCTGCTTCATTCAGTTTACAGCTGTCCCATATTAAACAATTTGTTAATACACATTTTCATTTAAACTTCCAATAATTTACCTTTATAGCGAAACATTTTTGTGACCTCATGTTGAGAGCTCCCTTCTGGTAGCGAGTATCGTCATGAACAACCTGATGAATGATCTCCAACAGCTCTTCAAACCTATCATCCTTTAAAGACTGAAGCAAAGATCAACACATGATTAACACTTTACAAGAAAACACAAAGTGTAATTTCACATACTCTCACAATATGAAAGGCTTAGATTGTTGTAACAATGTATTCATTATTTCACTACACAATGACATTCAGGCTATAACCAACATGTAGTTTATTTGTTTTCTTTATGCTACTATATTATTTGAAAATTATCATTAAGTTATAAATTATGTAAACACTCAATGCTTTACTACACCTAACTCACATTTAATGAAGAAGTTGTGAGGTATCTACTTTAAATATCACACCACATTTAACATATGATCATCAAAGGCTAATATTTCAAGCATTAGAATCCATAATATAACTGATAATAATTTCTTTCTTGTTGTTAACTCCCACAAATTACCAACTAATGGATAATATATTTCAGACTAGGCATTATAAACCTTAAGACTTATGATTTATATATGAAAAAAACAGTAGCACCTTTTTACTAATCAAGAGATAATAAATTTATATTTTCTTTAACTCCATTTATCCTAAGCCTATAATGATACTTCATTGTTTGTTATAAGAGAGGATGGTTGATATTATTATTCAGATCCTTTTTAATACTAACCAAATTTTGATCCTAATATATTGTTACGTCTCCAGTCGTTAGTTAATTTTCCATAACTTCGTTCCGACGAAACTTTAGCGACACAAGTCCTTTCTTAAATAAAACTGGTTTATTCTTTCCGAATACAACTTTACGATACACTTAATTTCAACAGTCGCTCTATAACAACGCTATGTCTCACGTGGCCTACAATATTTTGTCGCATACATTCAATTACTCATTACCTCTGTTGTCCCGTCATGTTGTCAACGTCTTATATAT